ATCACAGACTAAATTTTGGGAAATGTTTCAGGCCAGCTATTCCTGGTTCCATGCAAGTATCTGAGTAAACTTTCAAAAGTGCCCTTAAACTGTATCTGTTGAAGTAGCTGGTTGCACAGCAGTGACACAGCAAAACATTGCTGGCATTCCAGTGAATACACACAAAATTCTGAACTTTTTTGTTGAATTTGCTGACTTGAATATATGCAGCAGCATTGACTTTAAGCCATGTGTCTGACAGTCTCTAATTAGTCTTGTCTAAACAAATTTTTGTTGTTTGTACGCTGAGATCCTACGCGAAAGCTGAAGATTCACAACTCCTTTTGCAGAACCTCCCATGCTATTGTAGCATCCAGAGCACAGCTCTGAAAATGGCTAACTCCTGTGTGTCAAAGTGAATGTCCCAGGACATAGACAACTTCGAGCTTCTGCCTTTGTTTAGGGTGGCAGGTGGATTTCCATCCACCGCTAACTAAGGTGCACAGCCTGTGATTTAGCTGTAAGGAATTGGGCAGGTATACAACATGTCTATCCCCTTGCTCTTCACAATTCCATTCATACAGTTTATAGCTGTGGCGCTCAACCTTGAATCCTCACCGACAAAATCAGATTAGAGAGAGCCATAAAATCATCGTGGTACGGAGTCCTGACTTTATGTTGTGATGCTGCCCTACTATAAAAGGTGTCTCTCCTCTCATCTCTGCTACCCGGTTCTTGGCTGCCGAGGTGGAAGCAGATTGGATGGTTTTCCTTGCTATACTTCTGAACGCTACCAAGGTGCTTGTAGGGACCATAGTTTTGGTTCTACTTTGTTGGCTCACTTATTATGTTATACATCAAGGGACACTCTCATAAATATAGTAATGCTCATTTTGAGTATTTTCATGAATACCCCAAGAGATAGATATTGCAGTAAAAAAAAATTGCGTACATAGAATGGTTTAGAAATGGCATCTGTGCAGGGCGTTGGGTGCCTGGCTGTAAATGGCCCACCCGACCTTATGATTCTATAACTCTAGACCCAGTGACTGACTTTTAGACTTGCAGTGGGCTATGAAGAAGGTTGCTTCTGTTACCTTAGCACCAATTTTATTCAAGGTCTCCATAATGCTAACCCTCTCCCCCCCAAATAGCGACAATTCATGCTCCCAAGAGTTGATGATTTAAGAGTTAAATAATCCTAAAATATACTTCCTTCTATAGAGTGGATTTGATAGGAGTCCGTGGGCATTACTACAGTAAGTAGTAATGATAAAGAAATGGAATAATCCAACCACAGAATGGTTCAGATATTTGAAACCTTGATTAACAATTTCACGTTGAAAGATTTTGTGAGAGGAGCAGTTTACAAGGACAGATCTGAATGAAGAGATGGCAGGCTGTGTGTTTAGAGCAGTCGTATTTATCAGTGAAGTCAATGGAAATTGAATGTTCTCTGCTCTCTCTGAGTGGCACCGAGCTCCTGACGTAGTGAGATCCCTTAGGAATTAGCATAGAGTAAAATTTATAAACAAAGATACTGGGGAAGTAACTTTGAAGGAGACTTAGAGACCATAGGGAAGGAGATGAAAGAAGGATGAAATGGAGTTCAGCAGCTGTATGGATTCTTGTCTACTCAAACTTGCTCTAAGATTAGTTTATACTAAGATTAAATATTAACATTAAAGCTTAGCATATTATGGCACAGTGCCTGGATTCCTTCCCTTCTCTGAGAGCTGAAGTAAGAAGGAGAATTACGGTCACCCAGAGAGTAAGAACTGTCATCAGGGCACCCAGAAAATGTTGTGGTATGCCTCAAAGTCCCGAGTAAAGGAAGGAGGATCTAATTGGAGTATGTTATGAGCAGATGTGTGTAACTACTGTTCTAATACAGCATAGGGCATAGATGCCAGACACCCTCCACTAACTTCAGCCTAGTGATAGAGTGGGCAGCAGTGTCCAATAGACTGTCTTTTCAGAGGCTACACAATTTAATAGAACTTGGCCTATAATATGCCAGCTTTGCTCACATTGGTAGGCACTTACTCAAGTGAGCTGTAAGGAGAGGAGAATGCAGGGCATGCAAAATCATATATATTCTTGGAACAATGCTGGGTTATTGCAAAAAATGCCACAACATATTTTAGCACCATGCAGCCTGTCACAACCTACAAAGCCTTTTCAGACAAAACTCCCACTGACTTGACTTAAGAGTCTCCTCTAAGTAAAATCTACAGAATCAATATGGTTTTCTGTGGGGTAGGTTTGTCAGTAATACTTCTATATTGCTTGAAGCTTACTGAATCTGTTATGATTCTTTAATGTCACGTGCAATTAAGTCTTTCACTCCATTAAAACCCTATGGGCTTGATCCACAACTTGAAACTAAGACTGTTGGCTCTCAATGAGGGGAAGCCTGTCCTTGGGGGAACTGCAGTGCCTGTACACCCTCCAGCTTTGATTTAGCAGGCCCTGCAGTGTCCCACAAAATAGGTGGATCTAGTCAAGGAGAGAATTGGTGGAATACATATGAGATTCTCCAGTACACCTCTGTAGAGCCCCAGCCATAAATGTAAAACTGCTTTTCTCTGATAAAACCCTGTGTAAGGATGGCTATAGGACCATAACCTCAGTTCTTGGGCAATTAAACAAATTTATCTAACAACCAGTCTACTGAATATAACATGTAGGGCATCTTTTTGTAAGTACTTGTTAATTTTATTTTTCAGGCTTTATTTTAGGCAGGGTTTTTTTGGTTATATGTAGATATCCCAAAGTTGGAGGTTTTGAAATCTTTTGTTTGTTGGAAGATATATTTTTCTTCCAGAACTCTTTTTAAAATTCTTGTCTAAATAAGAATTACCTAATTTTTTATAATTTTTTTTTATTCATTACGTTTTTATTATATTAAAAGACTTGCAGTACCATTTGAACTTTGCATCATTGTTCTTGAATCCTTGGCTTAACATGTAATGCATCTTCCTGGCACTAACCCTACGCTGCTTTTACAACACACATTTAGTATGAAAAGCAGCTATAATATTTAATAAAAAAGTAACTTGAAGGTATGTTTAGCATTACCTAGCAATTTTGTTCTGACATATCACATATTGTAGCTCTGCAGTACTTGCGCCGTAGCATTTTCTTGTATTTGTTGCCTTCTGCAATGAAATCCTGATAATCATAGACATGTTATTCTGAGGATTTTGCCTGTCAGGGTTTTGAGGGTATGTTGCTTTTTTTTTTTTAATTGCTTCTCCAGTTTTTCAAAATCTTCCATATCAATGAAGCGTCCAAAGAAATGCAAGCATTTGCAGCCACTTACCTCAAGTGAATTTGTGCTGGCTATGAAGGAGAGAGCAGTGTAAACAAACTGTGCTGGGAAAGGAATGGAGTCAACACAAAATGAGCAAATGTTTCTGGGTTTTGTTAGTGTTTATTAGAGAGAAACTGATTTTTTAAATGTGTGTTTCTATCAGTATTTTCCAGTTAAAACCCCAAATCAGTCACGTTAATATATGCTCTAGAGCAGGGGTAGGCAACCTCCGGCACAAGTGCCAGAGTGTGGCACACAAAGGCGTTTTGCTTGGCATGCACACCTTGGGGCAGATGGTGGGGAAGGAGCCAGGGCTGTGCTGCCACAACAAGGATCGAGCCCCTTGCAGCCAGTCCGACCTTGGCATGCCAACATCTTTACAGGCTGAGGTTACGGGTGTTTTTGGCACCCTGCCCAAAAACATTGCCAACCTGTGCTCTAGAGTTTATATATCTAGTACACTGTGATACTACACAGTCATGGTAGTCACCCACTGCAGTCAAGCATGCAGTCTTGCATTACATGCATATTGCAGCATTCACAGTTGTTTAGGGTGTGAACTATACATGCTGTTTTAGCAGAGATTCAATAATGGCTTAGAAACCAAGCAAAGAAACACTGCAAAACTCACTTCGACATGGTTGTTTGAATCTGGGGACATCCCTTTTTAAGGTTTTAAATGTAATCATTTCTGTTCCATCTTTGTGTTCAGACTGGGACTGCCTGAAAATATATAGTATTTACATAGCTGTATCATTAGACTTGGTAGAAACAATTTTGTTTCTTTCTTACTGCTTCTCTTGGAATCTGTGAGAGTTTGGCAATTAAAAGGGAGCAGAACTGAACCCTTATGTTTTAAAAGCTAATGCAATTAGAATAGAGTTTGACATCCCTGTCAAGGAGACTATAGCTACTTGACATAATTTAGCAAATCAGTAAGACTTCCATTAGGTATAATACAGAATTTTACAGACTGTGACTTTATTAATTTTTACATTTGGTGTTTTTGGTTCTTTTTGTTATTTACATTGACATTATAAAGAATACCTGCTTTATTGAGATGGAGCTTACCTATAAGGACCACAGTGCATGGCATAAAATGCTTCCCAGCACAGCTAAGCTTTCAGTTTTCTGTGGTTTTAAACTATCTTTAAAAACCCTTTGATAAATTTGGATTGTATACAGTTGTTTAATCTTCCATTTTCTTCTTTCTAGGATTGTGATACCTTTTGTAAAGACCTGTCTCATGGTCTTACCTTCAGTGCAGACTGTATGGAAGAGCATGACAGATGTTCTTCTTGCACCATTATGCCAGAGCATGGGCCGTTGTTTTGCTGCAGTCAATATACGCCTGGACCAAGAATAAACATCAGGAACACAATACTGCTGTAATCTTAAATGGTATTATACCTCTTTGCTAATGTAACATAAAAGCAATTACTGTTCATTCCAAAACTTTTAGGATTAAAATGGCTGGTTTAAAATGGGGACACAGTATTTTTCTGAAAATTATTTACTTTTCAAGGGATCAATTTAAGATAAACTAGATAATTTTCTTATCTGTTTTAACAACAAAAAATATGTGGGCTATGTTGGCAACATTTTATTTCAATGGTACAAAGATTGTCAGATTTCAGGAGAATTCTTGCAGAAGTATATGTAAACTCCCTAATAATAGCACATTAAACTTCTCTGACTTTATTCATACTGCAAATACTAGTTGCTGTATTTTCTTGCATACGCCCTGCCCTGGAATATAACATATATCCTGTTTCTGAAAAAGTGTCATGAAAGGAAAAAAATCTTACCTTTAAGTATCTGCGTAGCAGCTACAAAGGAGCCACGCCTGTTCTTGAGCCTGCTGCCAGCCCCACCACCAAATGGGGACTGAACCAACCCAGTGAACGGGCCTGACCCTGCACGCCAGACCCAGAGCTGGTGTGTTTCTGTGCTGGATAGAGGTAGTGTGCAAGTCCACATCACCCAGTTGAGGTGCTCTCCACAGGTCCAGAAATTTGGTGACAGGGGAGCCATGGAAATTAACACTACCACTGCTTCCTCACTACCAAATTTCTGAACCCCGAAGAACCTTATACCTCACATATATGTTCACCCCAATTTCTACCAGCTGGTTTGGGGGGGCAAGGTGCAGATTATATGCAAGAAAATATGGTAATGTAGTAGTGATGTGACACAACCCCCCATCTAGGGTTTCACAATGACTTCAGTGGCATGACACTACCATGGGTGTCACTCATACTGTTCAGAATTGTGTACGGAGAGAGGAATGCACAGTACTCATCAGCAGG